TCTTTCCCGGGAAAAGATGCGGCCTGGGAACCCACGTGGGTGGCAAACACTCGGATAAATTTCGGAGCAGCCTCCACCCTTTCCTGTCGTAGAGTTCCCCGCCTTACGGGCTCTCCCGCGGCTTACTTGAAATTTTTATCATCCTCCCGCCTTGCGAGCTGCGAGAACCAATTACGAGGCTCCCGCCCGGTCTCCGTTATTGCCAACGAGTGGACCGGAATTGAATCTCGAAAAATCGCGGGATGTCTTAATTAAAACGAAAGTGAAAAGAACGGGGAATTACCCGCCGCGACGCCCTCAAAACGGCCACTTGAAACATAACTTGCGGAGATCGATTTTCGAGCCGGCGTCGATCATAAAGGATTCAGAGGGCGCTAGGCAGCTGTCGGAATCGGTTTACAAAAATCCATTACGAATGGACGAGGCAATTTTCTATCGACTGGGTCGCCAAGTTCCGATGCGCCAATAAAGTATTTCTATGGTTCAAGGATATTCTTTTTCTCGGTGCAGGATGGCCGTTTACGCGTCGCGCAATTTCCAACCCCGACTAAAACACCGTCCTTACGACTGCTCTTCCCGATGTCCCCTGTCCCATTAATTTCTACAAAAACCGTATTCGACAACAGTTATCCGTCGAACAACGAGGCACTCCTGACGTGGTACCGGGTAGCAAAAAAGTAGACCGGAAGCGGAAAGCGCCAAAAATACGGAGGGTTTCGGGCGGATAGGGGTGGAGGAGGGTGTCGGTATCGAGCCGCGGAGATCCCGCGCGGATGGACGGTGTAATTTTGGAGCGGGCCGCTGGGCAAACGCGCGGCCTTCGGCTTCGGAAGGCAGCTAAAAACACGGACGCAGGGGATGTACGCAGGCGACGCGTAAGCGCTGGGACTGACAGGCTTCGTGCGTTATCCGACAAGTCCGGAACACACCGGGAAGCCTATTACGCGGTATCCGCCAGGGTGGCCATACGGTTTGACCAAACGACAACGCAGCCGGTCCGCGGTTCCGCGTCCGCCGTTGAATATCGTGGCAAGAGCCCCTGGGATCGGCGAGTTCCTCGAAAAATTCCTAGAATCCCTCCTGCGGAAAGGCACTGCGGAGGGACGCGTATTCCAGTCCCTCGACGTGCCTCCGCGGAATTCCTGCGATACTTTCCGTTCGCGAGCTTTCCGCCTCCTCTTTACGAGCGGTTTGTTTTTTATCGCGGTCTTTCGCCGCCCAAGTTAGAACCCCGGGGACGAAGGACGGATCGCGACACCCAGGGCGGTCGATTTCCGCTCGGTCGTCCGGGAATCGCGACGGCGACGGGGAAGGGGATCCCATTGTCGATGGAGCGATTCTTAATGGAGGCTCCTCGACGATTAGCGCTTTCGGACGCGCGTCACGTAGTCCCCGCGCGCCGGTTTCCCGAGACGCCAGCCGCCCAGCGCGATGCGTCTCCGTTGCGGAATGGCCGGACCGATCGCCCCCTTGGAATCGTTTTTCAAATCCTGCCCCTCGCTGCGAACAATCGCCCGAAACCTCCCTTTACGTTCTGCGTGCTGGAAGGCACGTTCCTTTGTCCGGGCGGCGACCCTTGCGAAACGTGACAATAAGTTAATATTTATATACCCATTCCGGGGAGTTTATCATCCACCGTTGTGGGGATTGGATCGACGGTAAAGCTTAGATTTACCTGGATTTTATGATATATTTCGGAAATAAGGAAACTACGCGGAAGGACGCGCGGTTGAGATATTATTTCCAGAGCTTTTAATAATCGTTCCGACTGCTTTTTCGCGGAAGGAAGTCCTTCAAGGGGGGCGGAAAAAATGTGTAAACTCGAAAGCCACCGACGCCGCCGCGTGTGGCTTCGCCGGGCACGAAGACGCGCGGCGTCCGCGGAAGATCGATGCGAGCGCCGCCGGTAAACCCGTGAGACGCGTCGCGACGAGGCGGGGGGCGTCCGTTCTTTCGGTCTCTGATCCCCGTAGACGTTTATAGCGTTTAATCCGCGACAAGGCGATTAGTGGGCGACCGAGTCGCGGGCTCGCGACCGCCGCCGGTGGTCGCGCGAAATCGGAAGCGCACCCCTAAAACTCGGATTTGGGTAAAAAATGAACGAGCCCCTTAAACTGATTAAAAAACCGAACTGCAAGAGCGCGACACGTCATCCCCGAGGGATTGCTTAATCGTGAATTACCTGATAATTAATCGGCGAAGGTAAAAGCAACTGCGCGCATTTAGGATTTTCTCCCCTCGATTCGAGACCGAGAGGCTGTAACTTTAATCCGGGGAAATGTAGTTAGTCCTAGGTACAACATGCTCCCTGACAGGCGGTCAGCTTAATGCCTACTTTCTTTTTAATCCTGTTTATTACGAGCATAATCAATGTAATGTGCCCGCTTGAGCGCGGTTCCGTGTAACGCGGTTCCCGCGAACTCACACGGAGGAAATAGGACGTGGTAAAACCCGCAATAATGGCATTGCTAATTTATAATCGCGTGGGCAGTGTTACTCCTTCGGTTATAAAATGTGCAACCGAGGTATAAGTATCCGTAGAGACTTGGTCGCGAGTGCGCTCCGACCTGCTCGTTTAAATAATCTAGTCACCGTTCGCGTTACTCCAATTTATCACGTTTATAACTCCCCGACTCGTATCGAACCGTACGTTCTCCAGATACGCTGGGAAAACGAATATTATTCAATGCACATTTTATGCCCCACAATTAGCGCAATTAATCGACGGGGAGTAATTATAAAACTCGCGGTGTTTTCCCGATTTAAATCGACGAGCCTCGTTATTGGCAGTAAAGTGGAATTCTTGCTCGCTCGATATCTACCCGGAGAAAATGAAATTTTCACTTCTTTTGCACATCTCTGATAAATTATTCCTCTTACCGCAGGAAATTGTTGCAAATAATTGTTTTCAATATTTCTGTTCCTGGATGAAAATTTTCTCGGTGCATTTTCAAATGTCCGCGCTTATTGAGGGAATGAAGTTTCCTATTCTGAATTTTTTTCCCGCCCGTACGATTTGATCTAGTCTCGCAGCGAGGTGGAAACATCGAGAGAATGTATTTTCAATTAGATCCGAATTCGAGTCGACTCCCGATGCGCGTCGCATCGATTAGGGCGAGTGATTAGCCGGCCCGTAGTAAATCATAGTGATCCCGCGGCGTCGGCGTCGAGCCGAGCGCTCCCGAGGATTGCCGAGCGCGGCCGAAAGGCGCCGCTACGAAGTCGCACGACTTGAATGGTTTCAGTACCGAGCCGCCGCGGGTGATGGCTCGACGTGTTTCGCGCACGCGGTAGGGGTGGATTCGTCGTCGAATGGTCTGACTGGTTCGGAGCCGCGCCACAAGGTGATCGCCGTGCGTGAGAAGCCTCGTGGCAATTTATACACAGAATATAACCATCGCGTAAAGTGCACGTCCGAGGATAATCCACCATGCACCGTGGTCGATCGATTTATCTCGAATTTCGCCGATACTAGCCATCGCCTAACCAGGGACTGCCGCCGATAATCGTAGTTGAAAAAAAAAAGAGAGGCCTACTCTAAACGACGATAATCCAGAAATTCTCGCCTAATCACCTGATAACCCGTGCCGAGAAATCTAAAATCAGCATCGCGATTGAAAGCTTTCAAAGCCTAAAGATCCACGAATAAAATTATTCCTCATCTTCCGGGAGACGAGGACCACTGCCCCATATTTTTAGGAATTTATTACGTTGGAAAAATCATCGAGAGATAAACTATAAAGCGATTGAACGGTTACGTCGAACGTGTATGGGCGTGCCGATCGGAGAGAGGAATTCTCCCGTTTCGAGGATGCTTTTATTTTGGTCCTGGCTAGGAGGATACCTCTAAAGTTTGTTTTGGAAAGTACGCGGAGAAAGAGGCTCGAGGAATTTGGGTGAACGTTCCATGGCACCGAGGTTTCCCTGAACGCGATCCAGGCGACCCGAGGGTGCACCGGGACGCACCCCCCAAGTGCGCATGCATTCACTGGAGGGAATTTATTTTTCTACGTAGCCCCCCGAGTGCCAAATCGCGTAGGCGAGTCGAAAAAGGGGCGCGGAAGGAAGGGAAACAAAAATCGGAGGGAGAAAGGAAAATATGCGCCGATGCGCGGCATATCGGACACCGGACCGCACTCCGGCCGAGCAGCGCTCGAAAACCGGAAGGGTCGACCGGAGGATCCAGGATTAAGGCGAGAAGGGATCGAACGCGGCCTCGTGGATCGTTGATATTTGCCTTTGAGAAGTGGAGGACCCTGGAAAATTCGATCCTCGATTTATATCGACCTTTGGCTAGACAAATCGAATCTTGGCTCGGCCGGTTTATTCGCGTCGATTAACGAGCACTGGAAGGTCGAGATTTACCGGTCGTCGGTGCCTCGCCCGGACGGAGAAGAACAGAGGAAGAACCCAAGAGAGATCGTCACCGGGCCGAGGAACTCGCTCCGGAGGCTTTCGACCGAGCTGTCGGCGGCTGCGCCACTCGCCGAGAGGAAGGAGAGGAAGAATCGCGAGAAATGTAGGAAAATCGGGGAAAATCGAGGAAAATCACGAGGGACATAATGAATCGTAATTGATGTCGGCGAATGGCCGATTAGCCGCGTCGAGCGCTTTCATAAAATAAATCCCGATCGGCCCCGGCCGATTGACGGGACGGGTCAATCGACGTCGGCGCAACCATGGACGCCGGTGGACGGGCGTAAATCACTCGATTTTCGCCGGCTGATTCGGCCGATCGCAATTACCGGCCGATCGATCGGCTCCTCCCATACTCGGGAGGTCGAGGCTGCGGAAAAGTTGGACCGGCTGATTCGATCTCGCGGCCGGGCGATGCGAGGGAGGCCGGGCCGCGATCGGACGCGAACCGCGAGTTCGCCCGGTAACACGTAACGATCGCTCCGATTCCGCGACTCGCGAGCCCCGCGACATCCGCCGAACCTCGACTCGGCCGCAAACCCTTCGCCGGAGTTCTGGTGCCCGTGCCGCAGTGACGACGGAAAATGTGGTGGTGTTTTGCGACAATAATTTTGGTCCTCCGCGCCAGCGCGGAGTACTCCAGGGTGGAGCTCGCCGACCTCGACAGACCGAGTAAGTACTTGTCTTCGTTTTCTTCTTCCAAACGATGACATTACTCGGTCTGACATTTCTTTGGACCTATTCGAGCGCAGGATTTTAATTCTGCAATACATGTTTCTATGAGTCACCCAATTTTTTTCCTCGATCTTTCCGGGACGGAGGGTGGTTTTGGGTTGAAATTAGAAATTTTTTTATTGGCTGAAATGTTGATGGATGTCGGAGTTTTCGAGGTTGGGAGCATGGAGAGTATTCAATTATAGGAGTCGAATGTCTTTCGGTGGTCATTCGCGATCGCCTCCGGCGGTTCTGGACGAGGACCAGATGCTTATGCTAATTCCGCGACAAAATGTCCTGACGTAACATCTCGGATCTCGGGCCTCGGAATCCGCTCGGCCGGATCGGGAAGATACTTCTTCATTTCGCCCCGTCGACGCGTCACGTTTTCTCCTTTCTTTATGGCCCTACCGAACGCGACGCGTATACCCGCGCGGAATCGCATTCCGCCGATGATCGAAGCGGCTTCCGACTAAACGTATGGACGAACGGTGTTCCGGATTAAAGGTTTAACGGTTGATACTAGTCGAAGGCGTCGAGGAGAATACGTTCTCCGTCGAGGAAGTCCTACCCCACCCGACCTCGGTTTTTATTGGCCGCGCGAAAGGTGGAATAGTTTTAAATAAAAAAGCAGAAACGAAAGGAGAAATTACGGTGCCTGTTTGGAAGCACGAATAGTCGGCCATAAATCCGCAAACACCGGGGGAGGCGCTTCCTTACTTTCCGCCCGAGATTTCTCGGATTTCAATCGCGCCCGATCGACTCGCGTGTCTCTCGGGGATGTGGAGTGCAATGGGAGGAGAGACGACAGAGATCTCGATCGATTCGATCCGAGGGCCGGGAAAGATATCCCTCCGCGAATAACCGGCGATGGGTGAGCCCGTTCGATTAAACCGCGGCAATAATCCGCCCGCGGATTTATGGCCGGTCGATAAAGGAAGGAAAGGGATATCTTCGAGATAAGAGTCGAGATTCTCGGGCACGACACGATCGCGACCAATGACGAGCCAAATCGGTCTTGATCCTGGTCTTACACTTTTTCTAAGATTTCATCGTGAATCGCGACTCGACTCGACGCAATGCGATTTCATTTAAATTCGATCCGATCGCCGATCGAAGAAATCCACCAAAGGGGGCGTCGCTTCCCCGTGGGAACGAGGAAGTCGTTCGGAAAGTTTGGCGCTCTCGTTTCTTGACTCGGGGTAGGTCTCTTGCGGCGAATCCGCGGCGGTTTTACGCGGCTCAAGTTTAGCGCCGCGCGAACGACCGCTGCGGGCCCGTCGACGAAATTATTGCGCCCGTTGGGGCGTTTTATACTGCCCGGAATTTCATTTCACCGGCGAGCGCTTTGAAAAGACGGATAACGGTCCTCCTAGTGTCGAATACGCGCCGCCGCGGCCCGTTTTGCGGAATTTTTCGAAGGATTCTACCCTCCCCCAAGAATTCGCAAATTGCGCGGATTCCGCCGGCCCGTTGTTTCGAGAGATCGAAACGTCGCCCGCGAGCGGTCGCCTCCTCGGCTTCCTCGAGGCGAATATTCATCCTGGCGTTCCTTGGGGGCCGGATCGATGCCAATTCAGCGGTCTTTTTTTTTTCCCCCCCATCTTCGACGGGGGAACAAACGAAGAAAAGAAATACCGAGATTATAGCGGCGCGGAATATTAAATGTTGCGTCCGTTTGTTTGCGCCGGTGAAGGAGCTTTTTCATCGGCGGACGTTTCCGCCCGGTTTCGCGCTCTGCTTCCTTTTTTTGCGCGTTTAATTGCGCGCCAGGGCACGGCGTGCCGAGAGGCCACGGTTTCGTTTCGATTTACCGTTTGCAATTTCAGACACGTAACCCTTTTCCCTCCGGTCCTCTCTTTCGCAAGACACGCTTCGCGGAAGGTCCAAGCGCTTCGCCGGAATCGAATCGAGGCGGCCAGTTTTATTCCTAGGACGCATCGGGCTATTTTTTCCCCTCCTTTTTTTTTTTTTATTTATTATATCGGATCGATTCTCACGCCGTGCATTTATGCGACACCCTCGGGCAAATTACACCCGGCCGTAATGACGTGCTGCGCTATCTGCTCGCGATGCGCCTGCACTGCAATCAAATTGTGCAGCTCTTACGAGATCGCGTCGACGGGTGATAAGCGCTATTGCGAACGCGACCGTGTTCGGGGTAAAAAAGCCTCGTGATCGTTTTCAATTAATCAGTCCGGAATAACGCGCATTTGCGATGGGAAATCGTGCCCCATGTATGGATTCGAATTCGATCGGACGTATCGGAGTCGCGTCGCGAGAAGTACCGGTATAAATCATTTTGAAAAGGAGGGATCGATTTTTTTTTTCGACGAGAGGGAAGACCGATTTCGGGGATGGAAGGGTATTTCTGAGCCGACCGACGCGTCCACCCCCTCGGAGTCTAACGGAGGTACGTTTTCCCCGTGGTCCTCCTCGAGGACGAGCCCTGGGTCGACCTCCGATGTCGCGATGGCCCGGGAGATGGTAATTAACTTTTTGCGTGTCCCGGGTACACCTAGGCGTTGAGAAAAACCACCGAATAACCACGAAATCGACCTAATGGCCGCGCATTTGTCATCCGGCCACGAGGAGGGACGCCGACCCGGCGGCCTCTCGTCCCAGGGGAAATGTCGGAATAAACGCGCATTAAAAGCGTGTCTTCAATTTAATCAGGGTCGTTAGGAGTCGGTCTGGATCGTCGAGTGGTCTCCTCGTGTCGAGAGAATCCCGGATTTACCGGAACAAATTCAGGACTTCTCAGTAGTGCGAATTGCTCGGGCGGTTTGTATAATCGAGACGAATGATCGGGGGGTCCGGGTCTAATAATTCCTATTCTAATTCCTTGAATTTTTATTCCGATCGTTTCCGACCCAACCGGCGGTTGATCCATCAAATACAATTCGCCGGTGGTAATGACCGACTACGGTGCCGCTCGAATTTCCGTTTCCGTGCCGGTGAGATCCTACGGTAACGTGTGAGTTTGCTAGGGCTCGCTGGAATTGAAATCGATGGCATTGACTCTTTTTAATATTCATCGAGCGCGCGGTGTTGCGTTTTGTCGCGGCGCGGGTACTCGCGGGACGAGGGACCGGGGAAAAAGGGAAAAATGGAAAGAGAGGGATGCACGCACGCGTATGCACCCGAATGGAAAGGGAAGGGAATAAACTGTTAATTATTTTATACCTCCTGCCCCTTGACGATACCTGACAATGGAACCGTTGGACGATATTCCGTGGAATCGCGGGCGGAATTCCGGGGGTGTAATCGGTGCCTCGGTACGGGTCAAATTGACGAACGATCGCAATTACCGAGATGATATCGCGGTCCTATTAATCCGGAGGATCGCGACGCGCGAAAAGCCCGAGTGCACGAAACGAGATACTCCTGGGATCTCTTATTCGCACATCTCTGCGGCCGCAGCATCCGCTGCGGGATCGCGGGGGCGGGTCGAAGGAGGCCCCGAACAGTGACAAATTCGATCGTGCCCTTCGGAGGTTCGATCTCGAGCAGCCGGATGCTGTTCTCCCACACTTGGCCGCGCGTGTACACGTACACGAGGACGGGTCGATGCTCCGTACTCGATACGATTTGAAGAACGACGTAATTACGGAGATAGCATCGCGACGCCATTTATCCCAATGAGCGGTGCAGCAGGACAGAGATTCGCGCCTCGGATGAAAGGGGAGGTTCCCAGTTGCGGGCACTGGAGATAAAGGAAACACGGATAAAGTCGCTCGGCGGGAGGAAACTAACCGACCTAGGGGAAAAACTTAAATGTCTGGACAAATGTCGGGGAACGATGGGGCTCGCGATATATTCATTCGAGGAAATAAAGGGGCCGCGGTGCATGATGCATAGGAGGAAGGAGGAATCGGCGCAGCTTCCTCGGACTTTGGTGTACTCCGCGAGGCGACTTTGCAATTAAGGGGGTATTATCGGCCGGCCATTAATTCCCTCGGTAATCGCTCGGCGAGGGTCGCCCTCGGAGAGTTTACGGGAACCTAACGAGAGGCATTAGCTCCGTTAACGCCAGGCGGAACGAGTGTTGCAACGGATCTTACGGTGCACCTTACACTGTGTACCCTCTCTCGTGCTTCCCCTCGCCGACGGTCTCGGGGATAAACGATCTTGTTATAAGGCCAGGAATGCGTCGCGATCGACGCCACGCGAGGGAAGACGATCTTGCCGGCCCCTGGAAAGGAGCTTCGTCCCTTTTCTTTTCCTTTTGCGAAGACCGTTCCAGTACCCCGAGGGCGTATATGAAAAAAAGTGACATTTGCACTTTTTGCAAGGGACAGCCTTGCCGATATAAAGTTTGCCTGTTATAAATAATCCCATCAACGAGAAAAGGCATTTGCAATTATATCAAATCCTACATGTAACCGCAAGTAGGATTTCTTGTTACTACTGTGAATGTTTTTTTTTTTTTCTTCTGCGTATGGGAACCGTCTACTCGATGACTATGTCGTACAATTTAAGTGTGACTTCTTGTGGTTAGATTCGCCTCTTTGCGATTAATGGTACTTATCGCGGGTAATAAATAACGCCGCGATACATGGAATAATTTTTTTCGGGGGGAAACTAAAAGTGCCCGAAGATCGATCCGGTGGCGTGGCGCATTAGAATGAAATAAATCGCTGTTCTCCGTGAAGAGGATTGCCGTAATTGGATCGAGGGTCTCTCTCTCTCTATTTTTTTCTCTTCTCTTTTTCAATGGAGAAAACGAGGCTCGTGAAGCAACGCGGCCGGACGTTAAGTGGGCTGAGCGCGAGGAAGAGACGAATCTCTGTTGTGGGAATAAATTGACCGTGGACGTGAATCCTCTTAGGGTATCGCGATTACGGTTAAAAGGAAACAGAATATCCGTTCTCGTAACCCGAACCGTTCGGTTCGGCCGGGACGCGGGGAAAATATGCGGGGAAAAAGGAAACGCACGAACCTTCCCGACTTTTTAG